GTTACTCCCCAACACTGCCTGCGAAAAACACGCAATTGTGGAGGGTGTTTGTGGTTTCCACAAAATTGCTGCTAACTCTGAACAGTGTTATGTTTGAAACAACAGCAGTATATGAAAATCTTCTGAAGATGAATTTAAAAGATGTTTGAATTAAAATATATTTCATATTAAGACCACTATCAGATCATATCCAGCTGCTTGAGCAGCTTCTTTTACACCAGTTTACAAAAAGCAGTGGCCCCATTTTAATTTTAGGAAACTTCACAACACTCACTGATTTAAACCACTAACACATTTTAGAGATGTGATGAGGATGATGTTAATCTTAAATCTGTGCCTGAGTCAGCACACAGACACATGCCGCCCTCATCCTTTGATTTTGTTTGACACACTGTGTCTGGGTCACCTGTTTACCTCACTGGTTTCATGAATGTGTCAGCTGTTGAACCTCTGCAGTCTTACTGGTCTGCTTTGGGGACATCTAACAACAAATGTTAGAATAAGGACAACAATATCTGAGCTTCCCATGGTTGTAGCTCATGTGAACCTGTGATATGATCATGATCAGAACACTATTCTCTAACTGTTAAACCTGAACTTAACTTAACTCATCCAGTACACTCAGAGAGTTATTGTGACTGTAATCGTTTCTTCTTTTTCTTCAAATAATTACTGACTCACGGGGATCTCTCAGTATTCAACACTAAATTTAACATTCATGAGATTATCTGTGAGAACCCCCAACGCTGCTGATACAAATAATAAAATAATATTCTTGCATGCAACTGCAAACACTTCACTCTTCAGGATCCTCGGTGGTGCTTGCCTCTCAGCAGCTCCTGACCTCTGGTTTGTGTATGTGTGTGTCTGTGCCTCTATGAATAATTTACCCCATTAATAAAACCTCTCAGAAGTCCTCCAGTTTCACGAAGCCTGAATTAAAGAGTTGATTTGCAATTACAAAACCCATCTCAGGCCCTCACACAGCGCAGCAGAAGTGCCCGTAAGAGTGTGTGGCTGGAGTATTCGTGGTCCCTTTTACTGATGCTTAGGGCAGACAGGTTGGTGGAGTGCAGGAGGTGCTGGGGTGAAGCAGGAGACTTGAGGGAGAGATGAGAGAACAGGAGAAGCCTTGAGGCGTAATCTGATAGCTGTGCCGACCTCTTCTTCCTGCTTTTCTCTTCAGCGTTCTCCCCAAACGCTCTGCCGTCAGTGTTGTCCTCCATCAACCATCCAAAAGGCCACATTCTTGATCCAGATCATTTTTAACATTGCTCCCTGTGGAACTCCAGAAAAGTGCCCACGACAGAGTTCACATTACTGCCAATGTGTAACAGTGGTGCTGTACGTTATTGTCAGTAGGTAACCAGAATGGAAACAGGGGGAGATTTTACATTAATATATATTTTGGTACTACTCAAAAAAAGTCTTATCGTCTTCAAGGACATTTTGCAGAACATAAACTTGCTCCTTTTATGCTGAAGCAGATGTTGCATTCACATTAAATGCACTTCTTTAATGTTGCAATACAAAAGGTTAAAGTGGAAACATTCTGCAGTTTTCACTTCCTAATGAAACATGCATTTGGTCCCGTGTGTCATGACATTTATCGACTCTTTGTGTTTTGTTTCTCTTGTTGTTTGTCATCTCTCTGTCTTCCTCTTTCCTTCCTTGTCCTCTTATTCCTCCCTGTTAACGTTACTATATAAAACACATTGAGATGACTATTACTGTGAACTGGCCCTGT